CAGATATACGTTTAGTCAGCCTTTAGTTGACAAGAAAAGTTTCACATACATAGGTAGTGGGCGAAACGGACTAAAAACTGTTCGATAAAACTGCTGCCAAGTGTCGTGTGGTTCTGTCATTTGTGTTTTTCGTTTCGTTGAAGGAGTGCCTCTGATTAACAGTTCAGTTGGTTTGTGAATCCTAGCATTCTGTAAAACAATTTCAGTCTGTAGATGAAACCAAAATGGAATGCTACTCGCAGAGCCTACTTTTCCAGTGGATATTCTTTTGGCTTTAGGTGAGTAAACAAACGTCTCACCCATCCAGATCAGTTAATAATTAACTTCGTCGTTGGCATCTGTAGACAGATAGGTATCAAAACAAGGCTGTTGTTACGTTTACATGTTTGTCTGCTTGTATTCATCCTACTCATTGTCAGTTTTACGAGCAGTTTTTAATTCTACCTTGGTATGAATATCGTTCTTATGCACTTGTGTTTATTCCATATTAATGCATGCAAATATCCAATTTAATTATTTATATAAGTATTATATCTTTATATTTCTGTACACGTTTAAAGCTTGCAGATTACTTTAGACAAATTTAAGGTGTATTCTAAATTAGAAATTTGATTTCAATTATTATCAATTTATTATATTTACACTTCTTTATAAGTGCACACTTGTAGTTACATTTCTTTCCAATTCTCTATACTAAAAGACGGTGAATATTACTAAAATTAAATTCAACAATTTTGAAGGTCATTTTATGAAATCTACCTAAATTAGAATACATCTCTGATTATTATTTGCTGTACTATAATTTTACCTTTCCTCTCCTTTTTATAATATATGTCACTTATTTTAGAGAAAATGAACGATTTTCTGTGTTAATTATTATTTATTTGGAATTTAATCAATGATTGTTTTATTATGTTTAAATATATTTTTGTTCAATTAAGAAGTAGTAAGTTTTTACTATAGCTATTTATAAATTATCAAATATAAATTGTACTCACTTACTATTATGCAAGTAAAAATAATCTGTAACAAAATTCCAGGGCACTACATACGCAATAACAACACAGAAAATAATTTACATTTCATTGCAACAAACGTGGTTGGTAATTTGGAGAGAATCACTAGTTTTCCATTCACTACGTAACTAGTCATTTCATCATAAATGCTTTCTGAAACGTGTATATTATAATTTACATTTAATTTCACATTATTCAATTATTTTCAGCAATGTGTACCTCGAGTGGCAAAGGTGTCAACACCAGAAAAAGAGAAGCATGCCTTCGTTTCTGATCAACGTGCAGACACAACACCAGTCATTATTAGTAATAACGCCGAAGGCGAGAAGATATCGGACTTCAGTGACTCGTTACAACAACGCAACGAAGACGCTGGTGAAGAAGCAGAACGCATCTCCTTGATAAATTTGGATGGCGGATCAAAGCGTGGAACGAGTAGGAAACAACACTGGAAATCCCAAAGTATGGGTGACACTGTGCAGCAGACAGCAAATTCTCTCCAAACAAGCAACACCGTTTCTCAAGAAGAGGACTCTCAGGACCAGCCGACGTTTTCAGCGAATCGAGAGCTTTGGCAGAGACGAGCGACGTCGCAAACGCAATTGAATCCACCTGCGCCTCCTAACCATAATAAGATTTTCCGTACCTCCCAAGAATTCCGCGAGATGCGTCAGAAACATACACCGGATTTGGTAATGGATCTGCCTTTGTCGGCACAGGATGCAAGTAAGAAGTCTGCTTCGTCGAGCAGCCTAAGCAGCTCTGATGAAGAGACTCCTACTCAACCAACTCGTGCTGAAGCAGCTACGTCGCCAACAGGTGGTCCCGAGTCCCCCGACATGAGCACGGCTGCAGAACGATTTGCTAAACAAAACCAATGCACTCTGAAGAAAAACACCAAGTCGAATTCCGACGCGTCAAAATTGAAGCGTATGGAAACTGAGCATGACCCCGAACAAGAGTCGGAAGAGATTGTCAGATCGACGAGTTCCAATCAGATATCGGATTCAATGCCTCTAAGATCACCTCTTCCACCGCGTTCGACACCCAAAATAATAGCGAAATTTGCAGACATGCATCTGACAGGCGGCAGCCAGGTGTCCTCGTTCAAACCACAGATAAAAGTGAAGCCGACGATTCTTAAAAAACCGGTGTTGCCATTCCCACATCCGCATATGAGTCCCGAGCTCGCGAGGAAAATCGAGAAGCAAGCGCAGAGCGCCGAACAAACCAATTAATTGCTACCCAGGGTATTACAGAGAAATTTTTAGCAGCGAGAGAATATTTATTTTCAGCAATTCACGCGTGTTTGAACAAAGTTTTCAGACGCGTACATTTGCCATTGACTTTTCCATTGACCAGTTACTCCGCCCAAATCGCAAGGATATAAAGTGTGTTAATTATTGTACCCTCAAAAAAAAAAAAAAAAAAAAAGAAGAAAGGAAAGCCGGACAGCATCGTTCCTTAATATGGAACGGAACACGAAAATTTAGTTTGAACCAGTGAACGTTGCGTATGGAAGGTCTGATGCTGTCCTCGGGCCGAGTTTATTTTTTCTACGACTATTTTCCATTTTCGCATAATTTTTTTACCAAATGACCCGCGAAACGATGTTTCTAGTCATCGAACGACGATTGAGAAACGATGCGAGAAATGTGTGAGCGAGAAAATACATCGAAAAAGAAAAAAAAAAACACAAAAAAAATATATATATATA